TCATGGGTGTATTCATCATAATAGTTTTATAATTACAAAAAAAATGGTAATGAATTAACTGTCCATCAAAAGAAAACTGTAATATAATTTAATTTAACCATAAAATGAAGTTAATCTATTCATATTTACATGTAAATTTCATTATTTTTTGAGTAAGTAAGATAAGTTACAGAGCAATGTACATAACAGACTTCATTTTTTAAGTATACATAAAACCCTACAGTTTGGTGTTTGAGTTAGACATTCATTCCTACATGATAAAACAAGTATCTTTGAGAAATAGTTTAGGAAAGAGATGGAGGTAAAGAAGTACTTTCATTGTTTACTGTCTGAACTTTTTTAAAATTAGACAAGGCATGTCTCCTTAAAATACCCTCTAGTCAAATGGTAGACATTGGGTAATATAATGTCTGCAGCTAATCACCCACCTAATGAAGTGTTGGGAAATGAAAGAAACCAAATGATTTCACACACTGCTAAATCCTGATTGGACTCTTTAAGTTACCAATCTCCTAGAGTTGAGTTTAAATTCCTTCTACAAATTCAAATCATCAGAAGATAAAATTCTTACCAGAATAAACTGGAGACATCTGGAATTTGAATACCACCTTCCCTGTACATTTTGCCTGGTGATCACAAAGGTAATATTAATTGACCATATTTCAAGTAGAATGCTCATTTTTTAAAGTATTATCTTCTCTCATAAGGAAAAACAGCAGGGTGAAAGAGTAACATTATTTTGTTCTTATAGGTAGCAATTTGAAAGATGAAAAGTACAATTCTACTATTTTGTCTCCTGGGATCAACTCAGTCATTACCAGTAGGTACAATATGTTTACTTTATGTACCAACTAGCCTTGACAGCATCTTTAGTTCCAGACCTTTCTCTCATCCTGCTTTCTATCAAAACTACTCTGTTCTGTGACTGTTCTTTTTGGTTTTCTGTTTTTATTTTCCAAGGAAAAATTTGATGAACTAATAAGATGTTGGTGCATATTTTAATAATTTGTATTTTAAAAATGCATCCACTATCAGAAGAATTTCACTATTTTTCATTTTAAAAATGTATCCACAATCAAGAAGAATTTCAATTATATTGTCAAAGCAATAGGATAGAAATGAGAAGCAAAAGAATGCCTTAGATCTACTTAAATAGATAAACTTTTTTTTCCAAAAGTGAACTTAAGATTTGTCTAGCAATTAGTTATTTGTTCATGACTAAAAGCTATATTTTCTGTGTTTTTCTAATTGAAAACACAAAATATCTAGATTGCATGAACTCTAAAAAAAAACCTACCAAATTGTGGGATGCCAAAAGCATATTATAAAGTGGTCAATATTCTTTACTTAAAACATTTTGTCAATGGGCTGGCAGAGTGGCTCAAGTGGTAGAGCACATGCCTAGCACTTGTGAAGGCCCTGAGTTAAAACTCAGTGCCACCAAAAAAAAAAAAAAATCTCATCAAGAAATGTGTTCACATATAACAGGCCTTTGAAAGAAAAGAGGACTAGTGCTACACCCTTACTCCTGTTATCCTCCATTACTTTACAGACATAGAGATACATGGTTTGGATTTCTAAGTGGACTTCTTAATGACTGTTCAAGATGCTTAAGTATGGACATAAAAAAAGAGATTTCATGAAATAGAAGAACAAAAAGAAACAATTTTAACTGAGCCTCAAACTCACTTGAAGCTCCTGTAGTCATTCATACAATCAAGTATCTACTGAAAACTCTCTGTATGCCAAACATTATGCTAATTGCTGAAAATACAATAGTGAGAAATTTAAAAAGGCATGATCCCTCATGGTGTTCACAAGGACTGCAAATACCAATCAAGTAATTGTTTAAATAAATATTAAATTTTGTTCTGGAATTAAATAAACAGAGTGAGTTTATGAAAGGATGGAGCAAAACTTGAATGACCACTGTCCCTCTTACTTCATTACATATATATATATATCCATTGAAAGAAGTTGTCTATGCAAATCTCATTTTTGAAACAAAGAAGTTATTTTTTATAAAAGTTACCTCATGAATAAATTTACCAAAATGTTCCTGAAAATAAAGTCTCTGTAGCACATTTTAATTACCATACAACTTATAAAAGCTCAAGGTAAATAAAACTTTGCAGGAGCATAGCTACCATACAAAAGAAACCAAGGCACAGAATGCAAGCTAAAGCAAACTGTTAATAGCAAATAATGTGAGAGCCGCCAGATGGCTAATAGGTAAGGGGAGGTGACATTGAAATGTCTATTAGACATAAAAATTTATCAAGTAAAAAATCATAAACATGAACAAGGTATTTCTTGTTTTATGCAAATGAATTTACTGAATTTAAAGGCATAATGAATCTATTTGCAAATGGTAGATACAATAGCCTAATGATTATTTTCATTGATAAAAAATTTGAGGATGGGTACCAGATGTCAATAACTATGAAAAAAATAAGATTAATCAAAGACATAGAAAGTGGATGCCCTAAAAGAAACCAAGATTTTTTTTTTCCATGGTGGTACTGGGGTTTGAACTCAGGGCCTTGAGCTTATTAGGAGGTGCTCATTCTTTCAACAAATATTTGTCAAATGCCTACTGTTTTCCAGATACTTATTTATCTGCTGGGCATATATCATTGAACAAAACACAGCATTTTTACCTTTGTGAAGTTTATCTTTTAGTAAGGAAGCAAATGATAAACAGTAAAAATTACAAATCAGTAGATTATATACGTTAGAAGGTACTGAGCACTACGGAAAAAAAAAAAACATGAAGCAGGTCTATGGGGGTGAATATCTGAGATAAGGCAGGTTGCATATTCAGGAGAGTAGTCAGGGCAGGCCCCAAGAAAAATGTGAATTCAAGAAAGACTTGAAGCACATAAGGGAGTAAGCTTATGTCTAGGAGAAGAGCATTCCAGTCAGGGTGAACAGGTAGAGGTGAGATCCTGAGATAGGAGTGAGCTTTAACCACCCCCATAAACAGCAAAGAGCCTGAATGGCCAGAGCAGAGTGTATGAGAGAAAATAAGGTGGCTAGAAGGTCAGAGAGGCACTAAGGGCCCAGAGTATGAGGGTCTTAGAGCTTTTGTAGGTCTCTGGCTTTTACTCAGTCAAGTTGGCAGTCATGTGACTCTGAGCAGAGGAGTGACAAGATTAGGCTATTGTTTTCAAAGAGAAAATATCCTGACCAGGAAGGAGACTGAACTTTCATTACAGGATTGATATGTCAGGCACAAGGCAAAAGTGGAAAGTACAGAAGGATTTATGGCAATTTAACTCAAACATTACAAAAAAGCAAATGTACACAGAGCTAAGATGCACAGTTTATATTACATGTCCTGGTAAAAGGGAAAACAGTTACAGGAAATAAATGAGAGCCAAGGACAACCACCAGAAATCCCATTTGTCCTGGCCCAACTTTTCCCCTACCCACCCCTTTTGATCAGGCATTCTTCCACTATAAGATTCCATTTCCTGCAGTACACAAAATGTTCCAGGAATTAAAACTGATCCAAAATACACGGACCTTAAAGATAAGTATTTTGCATTTAGGACAACCTGTTACCTTCTGCACATAAATGGATATAAAACCTTAAACATATTCTTGCTTTATCAAACATTGTATTCACAGAAGCAGCTTAACCCCACTGTGGGACTTGCTCCAACAAAACCAGCTCCAGATCAGGTGACCCTTCTAACTCAACAGCAGGCAAATCAGGTAAGAATCCAACAGTAAGGAAGATTTACCATCCAGCAAAGACTCTTAAGACTGGTACGTTTTTATGGCTAAACTATCACCACAATACCTTATCCTCCAAATGCTGTGGGGTGCAAAGGTCAGTATTTATGGAGTAAATAGGAATCTAGAATCTATGTGCTCATCTCAGGGTCTCAAGACAGCTTTGGGATTTGAGGAAGCAAAGATATACCTGAGAAATGGCAAGTTTGGAATGTCTTCAAATTAAAAAGTTGGGAATGAGTAATGACAGGAAATCAAACTCTCTAAAAATAATACAGAAACAATATGCAGCTATCAAAAATTACTGTGGCAGAATATCAATGGTTGAAGCTACTTATTGAGGAGGTTGAGTTACATTTGTCAAGTAGACAAATAAGTGAATCAATCAATTAATGAGTTTTTAAAAGACTGGGTATTTTTTTTTAAATCAAGATTTATACAAGATGACCCAAACAATTTATTTGCATATGAGTAAATGTAAAAACAATAAAAAAAAAGATTTACACAGAGTCTCATGATTGAACAAGAGAAAGAGGCTTTACCTTTGGAATAAATAAAGAGACAAACACTTCAATTTAAAAGTTTGAATAAAGAAAGAAAAGCACCCACATTTTTTTCCTTTTGTCTGAATAATAATTTGGTTTAGCAACTACATCTGGTAAAGTTTGAAAATCAGTTGCTACACCTGTTTACAAAACTCGATCATCTGTGCCTTTGAGATACTGACATATGTGTGGTATTTGCAGAGATGGCAGAAAATAGGAAGTGACCTATAAAAATAACTGTAGATTTCTTTATGGTTTTCTTCAGTTTCATTGTTGCCAAGGAGCTGATGTGTTACAGTAAAATGTGTTCCTTAAAAACATATTTAAATAGTTTCAAGAACTGCCTTCTTTTGGCTATAACGCTCCCTCCCCCTCCAACTCTTCCTCTGCTATAAAGGACCTTCTTACCTACGTCTAGACTCTGTAAATTACTGTAGTCAGATAATACCAGAATCTCCTTTCAGTTCTCTTTTTAGTCAATGGACATTATAGAGCACTCAAGTCAGGACCCAAACTCCCTCCTTAAGAAATCTGCAGCTTATACAATTTATAGACTTTCTTTAAGAAAAAATATATAATTACATATAAAATAGAACAATGAAACCTTTTACAATTGCTTTAAGTGGGGCAGGGACAAGGTAAGCGAAGCGAAGAGATGGGCAACCTAACCAATGTATAATGTAAGGGTCCAGAGTTGTCACAATGAATCCTCTCTGTACAATGGATATATGCTAATAAAAATGAAAAATAAAAAAAATAAAATTACATAGGTAAAATCAAATACTAAAGTGAATATTTATAATGAAATAAGAATAAATCAGCTAATAAATACCATAAACTTGATACATTTGCTAGGGCACTTCCCATGACCACAAAAGTGGATAATGAGGCCTAGTAAGTACAGTTCAAGGGTAATAAGACTCTCTGATGCTCCACCTTCATTTATTGTAAGATCACCTCTGACGGGAGTGTAGATTACTTGAGGATATCTACTGACAGAGTAGTGGAAACAGATAATCTGTTGCCTAATCACCAATCTCAATGTCCTGCAGGTCTTCCCTTCTTTAAGTCTAATACCATTAACACAGTTGCTCACGCTGGGATCAGATCTGCAACTGGTAAGTACTCTTTTATGTAATTTTAATACCTATTGTTAAATAAATATAATACCTAATGTTGAACATGGATGGAAGGCAAGAACAGATGGGAATGTCCATCTACAAGTGCACATATGCATATATTGACAACAGATAAGTTAGAAGAGAGGAACAAGGGACAAGTCAAAGAGAACTGGATGCTACTCAACACATCCTCAAATGGTTTTCTTAGTAAAAGATTCTTTAAAGAAATTGATCTAATTTTCAAGTTTTTACTTCTCCAGTTCCTCTCACCTCTTCTCCAAGCTCCTGCCCCAATTTCTCCACCATACCTTTCTTAATGTCCCATACAACATCCCCACACCCACATAAACACTATGATCACTGTTATCACCCCAATAACAAGAACAAACTTTTAAAGGGCAGAAAAATCTTCAGTCTTCTCATAGAATATCTTAGAATTTAATCTGTATGGGGAAGAAAAAGTAAGTTCTTTTCCTTATTAGATTTTTTTCCAATGTTCAGATTTAAATATAATATTAGCTCATGTTCCAGAGTAGATACTTTACTCTGCACCTTTCAGTTTTCATGGGGGATGCCTATGGAGGAATTCACTTCTTCAGAAAAAAAAAAAAAAAAAGCCATCAGAAAAATTCCAAGAACTACTGCTGTTGTAGCCAGAAGGGAAAACCAAAGGAAAAAAATCACCTAAATAATTCTCAAAGAGATGGAGTTAAGTACAAAAGAAAAGCTTAATATGGAAAAAAATTTAGTAATGGACTTTGTTTTCTAGCAGACTAAACAAGTCCTTGAATTTCATCTGTGCCTAATTACATACACAGTAGAATACTTTAAACTTGATTTACATTTAGTAAATACATTTTAGTTTCCTCAATGTTCAAACTGAAAGAAACACAGTGAAAATCTTCATCATTGCCCCATAGCTGAACCCTGCTACAGGTCTGGCACCTGGGGCCCAGACCCTCCCATTGACCTTGGGGGCATTAAATGGACAACACCAGCTGCAGTCACAGGTAAGATCAACTGCTGAACTTCATTAGAGAGTATTTATCTCAGGTTAAGCCTACAGGGTTGAAAGAATTATTTTCAAGTTTCTTAAAAACCGTACCCAGAAAATTTGCAAATGTATATTTTACTGTACATAGAACAGTATTTGATAATTTGGTTCTTGCTGAAGGCCCATGAACAACACACCCACAAAGAGTGTTTCCCCATAACCTCTCTAGAGTACTTTATAATGGGTAACAAGAACCTGTCAGAGAAACTGACAGGAACTGGGATTATTTTCTAGCACATTCTGTTTTCTACTGAAGATGTTCTAGATGATCAAGATCGTCCAAAAGAAAAACTAGGAGACGGACAGCTTACCTCAGCAAACCAAATCCTCCCCTTGGTGCTCTTTTTTCAATGCTCTCCCTCAAAAGTCCCCAAAGACATTTTAGTTACTGTGTTCTCACCTCCCACCATCACTTGCTTTCAGTGAAAACCCTCTCATGCTAATATAAAAAATGACATATTTAATATATCACCATTTTTGGAAGTGTTTGTTTTTAACATTGGACAAAAATCTAAATTCTTAACTTCCTGGAACTTCTCTAAACCACTTACTATCTGGAAAGCTATAATAATCTTTTCAGGACTAGACTAAGTTATTTTTGGATAACTCATTCTCCCCAATATGTGGCCTCAGCCCCACTGTCCCCACATAATGTGTAACTTTTGTTGTTGCTGTTGTTGTTGGCAACATGGTCTAAGGCTTGCTAGGCAGGGGCTTGATCCAGGTCTCATCCTTTTTTGCTTCAGTTATTTTTTGTATATGGTCTCAAGTTTTTGCCCAGAGTCAGCCTCAGACCAAGATCCTCCTAACTATTGCCTCCCATAAAGCTGGGGTTTCAGCTGTGTGCCACAATGCCCAGCTTATTTGTGGACATGAGGGCTCAGTAACTTTTTTTCCAGCTGGCCTCAAATTGTATAATACTCCCAATCTCCTTCTCCTTGTAATTAGCTGTAATTACAAGCATGAGCCACTGCACCCAGCCCATGTTTAATTTTTCTGTAGAGGCACTTATTGTTTATTATCTAGGCAATATGTTAATTATAAAGAATTTAGAAAATACATATAAGAAAATAATAAAATTTGCTCAGAATCCTGTCACACATAATAAACACTATTAATATTCTAGAATACTTTTTCTAGTCATTTTTCAATATATATATTTTTAAACAAAATACATTCTTAATTCTTGCTAATCTAATTATTTTCTACTAAAAAGATTTTGGATAGTTTTCACACCCTGAAATATTTATCTATAACATTATTTTAAATGACTGTTTAATATCCCATTGTATACTAGATTCCCTATTGGGAAAATGTGGGGGTTTTCCAAACTTTTTACTTCCATAAGCAATATTAACTGAACATTCTTGTAAATAAGTCTATTACTGTATCAGTGAGAGTATTTCCTTTGCACCAGTACTTAGGAAGATAAGAGAACCAAAAAACACTTAAAATATCTTGATAAAAATCTGATAATAAAATTCACCCTCTGAAAAAGGTTTGAGAAGCATGCAGGTGAGTTGAAAACCTCTTGCTGGATGTGGTGGCTCATGCCTGTAATACCAGCTGCTTGGGAGACTGAGATTGGGAAGATCAATGCTCAAGGCCAGCCCAGGTAAACAGTTCATGAGACCCCATTTCCAAAATAACCACAGCAAAATGGACAGGAAGTGTGATTCAAATGGTAGAGCATCTGCTTTGTAAGCATGGGACCCCAGTCCTATTAAAAAAAAAAAACTCTTTAATACACGATCCTTGTATAATACATATGCTAATTGTCTGGTGTCTGTCTCAATGGTTCCTTGCTACAACCTTGAAGACAGACTTAGTACAACTTTTTATTCCCCAGAAAGTACCTACCCACTTGAGTCTAAGATTTTAGTGGGCACTATAGATGCTACAAAATTTTCCAGATAAGAGTTTGACATTTCACACTCCCCCACATGCCAAAATGTAATTCAATCCCCATTCTCTGTGGGATTCTTCAGAATTTCTGGGCTATGCCACCACCAAGAGTCCCCATACCTGACCTTCTCCTGGGCAGCTCTAGTCCCTCCAATCTTGCTTCTCCCTATCCAGAGTCGCTCACTTTCTCTGCCACAAATGTAAGTATCTGTTGATAGTGTGCAGTTATCAAAGAAAAGCCAACTCATTTAAGAAGGAATTCTAGAACCACACAACTCCTAATCAAACCTCAGCTTTCCACTTACAACCTATGTCATGTTGGCCAAGTTACTTAACCATAATGTAGTTCACTTTCCTCAAAATTTAAAATGAAAATAATACAAGTGAAACTTCCTCCTTATAAAGATTAAGAAAGTAAATACACAAAAAAGATTTCAAATAGTACCTGCCACACATTGAACATGACGCTTTAGCTGTCATTTCAAATAATTTCTCTACCAGTAACTAAGTAATATTACTGAACAACTAGATAGTCTTTCACTACAATTTTTACTTGGACACTTCTGGTTTCCTCTTTTTAATTTTTTCTCCTTCCACTCCAGCTTTCCTTTAAAGAAGAAATTTCAATTTTGTTTTCTCCCAAATCCTAAGTGTCCCTTCCCCCATATCACTTTCCTAACACCACTCTGAAGGTTAGTTGAGTTTTATTATTGTTCCCATGTTTTGTTGTCAGTAAACAAGGACCTAATTGAGAGTTGGGCTTTTTTATAGGGGAATGTGCTTTTTACCTGTTGGTCTTACGGGTACTATTGTACCAGCTGTCTTCAGAAATAATAAGGTTAAGAGTCTATCTCATGGACTGGGATGTAGCTCAATGGAAAAGTGCTTGCCCAGTATGTGTAAGGCTCTGGGTTTGATCCCCAGCACCAAAAAAGAAAAGGAAAAAAAAAAGCATATTTCATATTACTTTCGTATCTTTCATGTTGGTATTAAATTAAAAGCCCCATTTTGATAACCTCCCTGACACTGTGAATTTTCTATAGAAATAGACATAAATCTTTAAGATCCTAGCTTTCTTAGAAAAAACTCTATGCTAGTTTTTAGAGAACAGAATACTAGAGTATACCAACACTTCACCCAAATCTTTTTCAGTTACAAATTCATAATATTTAGCTAGTCATTGGTAACCACTGAATTATTTCTTACCTAGTTCTAAAAACTCTACTAATGCAGGAGTTACTGAGCAACATGTCCCATAATTTCTCACTAGTATTTTATTTTAATAGCAAAAGGTTCAAGCAACTATTGTAAGAGTGAATGTACACTGCTTCAAGAAACCTCTTTGGCTTAAAATATCAATTGCATGTTTTATTTGTCTTCCGAGATGCCATATAAAAGAAATCTAAGAATTGTACCATCATTGTTTCTTAGAATAATTTTCAATATGGAGATTGCTAGAGACCAAAATTATTGGGGTTTTCTTTTTCTTTTTTTTGAAGACAGGCTCCCTAAGTCCCAATATCCCCCTCAATGGCACACTTCCAATGACCAGAAGACCTCCCACTAGGCTTCATCTCTTTAAGGTTCCACCATCTTCACAGGTTGGACCAACCATTTAACACATGAGCCTTTTGAGGACATTTATCCAAACCATAGTATCATTCAATGTACTTCTACCTTCTAAATGTAATGCTTTGGCTGAGTTCTTAAATCTTTCTAGGTTTAATATTCTTCTTACAAACTGGATGAATTCCAATTCCATCGAGTTCTATGAGTCTATATCTATGATTACTACTGATTACTAATAATTATTGGTTAAACAAATATTATATCCTTTTAAAAAATCTCAGTATTTGTGGCATCTGCCAGAACTCATCTTTAAATATATGTTTTAATAAATTTATCTCTCTTTTTGTTCAGATGTTACCAATTATTGTAGCACCACTTGGAACCCAGGTAAGAATATTTTTAATAAAATTTTTATTTTAAATTACCTTGTTGTGAAATACTTAGTCATGTCCTAACTCACCAGCTGGTTACCAAGTTAGCAAATTTTTAATTTGTTTTGCTAACACTTACTAAGCACTATGTGCCAAGTACAGTTCTAAGTACTTTTCATGTATTATTTCATTTACCATTGAAAACAACCTCTTGAAGACATTGTTTTTATGTCTAATTTAAAGATAAGTAGAAATGCAGTTACTCAGTTCTAGTCACACACTTAGTAAATGGTATACCATATGAAGGAGCCAGTCAATCCTCTAAACCAAACTGTAAAGAAAAATTAAATTAATGGGATTAATCTGGTTAGTCATGATTTAGGGGATTTGCTTTTTAATCTCAAATTTCTTTTTAAGCATATGTATTTTTCCCAAAAATGTTCACTTTGTCTCCTCTTTTCTTACTTACTTTCAGGAAAGTAATTCTTTTTTTGTTGTCATATTATTGTTGTACTGTGAGTGTACTGCAACATTTACAAAACATGAAAGTAATTCTTGAGTTCACTGGTAAAATTATCAAGGGCCAAGATCAGTATCAGTATCAGATGAGGTTTTTAATCAAATACAAAATTCCCTTCAACTCCTAATTCCACATGTTGAACTATATCCAAAGAAAACAATCTGAAATACATCATTCTGTACAAAATGTTCATCAAAATAATATTTGTAGTAGAGTAAAATATTGGATATACTTTATAATTTTTTGTGGGGAGAGCAATACTAAGGTTTGAACTCAGGCCCTTGTGCTTACTCAGCAAGCAGTCTACCACTTGAGCCACACCTCCAGCCCTTTTTGTTTTAGTTACTTTTCAAATAGGGTCTTGCACTTTTTCCCTTAGTTGGACTTGAACTGCAGTCCTGCCTCCCACGTAACTATTTTTACAGAGGTGAGCCACAGTACTCACCTTGGACTTAAATTTAAGACCAAAAGAATGATTTGATAAACTGAGTAAAGTAAGAGCAAATACACAGCCATTCAATATTACATTAATTAAAATTTGCCAATAACAGAAATAAATGATTGCTACAGAATACTAAAAGAAAAACAAAAATTGTGTAAATGACCATTTCTATTATGTAAAAAATAAATTAATGTAAATCATCTGGAAAAAAAATGTATCAACCCTGAATGACTGGATTATTCATTTTTCTCTATTGCTCTCTACAGTTTCTAAGATTCCTCACCAAAATGCATCTAGTTCTTAATAATAAAAATACAAATAATTTTAATGCATTATTCAATCAATAATTGTCTGCAGTCCCAAATCATAGGCTAATGTGACTTTTGTGATGTAGATCATATAGTTTGATATATTGTTCAAAATAAAAACCTCTTTATATTTTAAGTTTTTTAATTACATTATTTAGATAGATAAATATATCTTGCTTTGAATATATTAAAATTTGTCTAATACCCTGTGTTTAAAATTTTACTTTTAGGGTGGTATCCTAAGCTCAGAAGAATTGGTAAAAAAAAAAATTTAATCACTGTCATTTTAAAGTCTTTTCACATCTCCACAATGTTTTCTGTCTTCTTATAGTCTCTTTTGACCACAAACCCTAAAGCTAGTATACATACAATAAGCCAAACATTTTTATACATCCTTGAATTCAATTATCCTTTCTCCTACTGGGGACTTCACCAACCTTCTCTAGCTACTTTTCCATTAATTTAACTGAGCATTAATTTTTCATATCTTGTCATCAGATTAAGTTCTAATCCAGAAAATCAATGAGTATTTTTAACTTTATATTGATTAAAATCTAGGATTATAAACTATTGAGTTATGTGCAGATATATAATAATGTAAGTATTAACATTCATTGCAGGAAAGATTAATATTTTTCAAGCATCTGAGAATTTGAATACTCTTTCCATTACACATGAATAACTAGAGGGATGGACCTAAATAAACTTCCTGTTACTGCACTTCTATGCAGTAATTCATAAGTCACATTTAGAGAAAATGACATATTAACATGGCATCTAAACACAACAACAGAAGTATAGAATTGAGGCCATATCTTGGATCATATTTTTTAATTATTTTTGATTATCATATTATTGTAGTATTGGGGTACACTGTGACATTAACAACAGTACTTACAATATATCTTAGTTAAATTCACCCCCTCTATCATTCTCCTTCATCCCCCTAACCCCCAGTCTTAGAATAGTTTCAATAAGTCTCATTTTTCTATTTTCATATGTGAGTACATAGTATTTCCACCAAATTCAGCCTCCTATACCCTTTCCTTATATTCTCTCCCCTCCCACTGGTAGCAACCCCCAGACAAGACCTGTTTTACCTTCCTGTCCTCCGTTTTTGAAAAAAGACATTTTTATTTGCTTAAGATATCTATACAGAGAGTTTCATTATGACATTTCCATGTTTATACGTGTTGCGTGGGATCATAGATTTAAATAGTTTTTCTATTATGAAAGGAAGAGATTTGCTATATTGCCCATAAATAATAATCAAGTTATGGGCCCAGTGTCTCTTTTGCCAACAGTGATACATGAACAACCACATCTGCCAGTTAGCAGGGTGCTTCTGGCTTCAATATCCCTTCAATATAAAACAATGATTCCCAAGTTTCAGTCTTGGCCCAGCAACTCAGGTTGACTTTAAGAGCTAGTTTAACATGCAGACTGCTGGATCCTGCCCCAGACATGCTCAATTAGAATATCCCTAGCAATGAAAAATTCCAAAAGAGAGGAGTTCCTGCAGTGACCTCAGAAAACACTTAAGTGTTTTTTGTGACCATTCAGTGACTGAATATTCCAATGCCTTTGAAAAATATGTAGAAAGAAACCTGAAATGACACAAGCTATGAGGGTGATGACTTGTTAATCTACATGAACTAATTTTTCCATTAATTTTTAGTCTCTGAAATTACTGTTTTAGGTCAGTAACAGAGACACAGACTATTGTTAATATATGGACTTTCTTACTATTACCCCCTAATACTAATAAACTCCATTTTCCCATGACTGATTGGTGAGCCTTAAAATTTATTCCTTATGATTTTGTTTTTTTCTTTTTCCTTCCATCATTCTAGCCATTGGCCTCACAGATCTTCACAGGCCTCCTTATCCATCCCCTGTTCCCAGGTGGCATTT